CCAAGGCAACCTCTACTACTTAGAGTCCTTCTCCAAGGACTTCTCTTCTAGACCCTAATGCAACAGACTTCTGGGGGGAAAGACGAAAGTCCCACATGTGTGCTTCGGTTGCTCCTCTGTTCCTTCTCCTAGAGGCCCCCCAGCCTTCCCACTCACTTCAAAAGGTGGCAGTCCTAGTTCGGAGCAGGTGTTGGCAAACTATGGTTTGCAGGCCAAATCTGGCCCACCACCTGTTTCTGGACAGCCAGCAAGTTAAGAACGTATTTTACATTTGTAAATGATTGAAAAATATCAAAAGAAAAAGGATATTTCATGACATATGAAAATTAAATGAAAGTCACATTTCACATCTACAAATAGTTTTATTGGAACACAGCCATACTCTTTTGTTTACTATTGTCTATGGCTGCTTTCCTGTTACTGTTGTAGAGTTGAGCGCTTGCAACAGAGACCATACAGCCTGCAAAGTCTGAAATATATATATGGGCCCTTTGCAGTGAAAGTTTACTGACCAGTGGTTTAGACCGTGGACCCTGAAGCCAGTCTGCCAAGGGCGTGAATTTAGTTCAGCCACTAACTGTGAGCAATATCTTATCATGTTCTGAGCCACAATTCCCACATTTGTAAGGTGGGGACAATAGTTCGATTTACCTCATTAGGTTGTGTGGGGATTAAACAAGTTGATTTGAATAGTGCCAGATGCAGGCCATAAATGTCAGTTATTATTGTTATATTACAGCTGGTGACCACAGAAAATCTGTCTGGTATTAAATAAAAATTCTAGATCAAATGTGTGTTTCTTAACTGAGCTCAAAGTAACAGGAAGAAAAATCTGCAGAATATGACAGTTATCTAAACCATATAGCAATAGTGTTACTGTTACAAAGGGACTGCAGAACGAAATTTCACTCCTGTCTCAAAGAAAGGTCAAATTTAGGCATTTAATTTCCTGCTTTTCTACATATTCCAGGGATCTCAGCAACCAAGTTATTTTGTTTATTTTGTTTCGAAGAAGGTTGAATAAAATTTTCCTTTTTTTCCCATATTCCTCTACAGTTATTTTCCATGTAAATATATAATTTTATATAGTTATAATATGGCATATACAGTTTAACTATTTCTACTTAAGCTTACATCATAATTTTTCCACATTGCTTCTTAGTTTTCATCATCTTTGTTTTAAACAGAGTTTTATGAAGATAATTTTTCAACATACATAGGAATGTTTCAAGATATATATAAATACAGTTTTAAAAATATCAAGCAGTGTTCACTCCCTCTCACCTCAATATCGATCCACTTTTCATCCAACTAATGACTTGGAATTGCTCACATCACCAATTTCCCCCAAAGGTGATCTCGGAGCACATTTAGATATTTGCAGCAAACAGCATTCTGCAAACAAAACTAAAAGCTTGGGTGAAAGTGCCGACCAAGCATAAACCTCACAGTGATGGGGACGCGGCGACGGATAGCATCAGAGCACTGACCACCGTCTCCCAACTCGGCAGAGAAGCTGGACTTCCAATGCCACACGGCAGAGCCAAGGACAGCCCCAAAAATGTTCACCCCCCCCAAGTCATTTGCGGGCAGAGATTAGATAGCGGCAGCGACGTGAGTTCGTGAGGTATATGAAAAAGGTGTTTCTAAGGCTGGAGAGATCTGTTCCTTTGTCCCAAATTACAATGCATCGCCCCAATCCTGACTTCCACAGACCCACTCTGTCCTGAAGCCTTTGCCCTTAGAAGATTACAAAGTGCTGCTTAGAGCCAATTATATATTTTTCCCAATTTTCTGTAGTTCCAGCAACTACACTCACTCATATGTAGGATCAAAGAACCAGCCTCCTCTATCTAGAAAAAAAATAAAGACGCTGTTTCACCGAACACATAGTTTCTCTTAGAGAAGCAATCAAGAAGGCCAGATTTGGCAAAATGAACCTGGTAATCAATGGCGGAAATGAACCCCTTGCCAGTTGTCTTCACATCTAACTATTCTCTGAGGCAATGTAAGGGACAGTCACAATATTCATGTCAAACTAGCCTCCAAAGTCACTTATGCTCACTTCTTTCTCCAAGGCCTTCGAGCAGAGTGTGCAAGTGCTGCGGCATGGATAAGCGTGTGTGTGTTTATCTGGGTTTGGAGTCTCTGGTTGTGGAATATGCTTAATGTTTCTTCTGAAAAGTATCAGAGGAAAAAGAAAAGGCTATTTCTGGGAATCATGCTGTTATTCCACCTACCCATCTGGTTGACTCTTTAATTTTAAGCCTTATTTTAATAAAAGACTTTGAATAGCTCTGCTTTTATGATTTAAATGGACTTTCAAATTGGGATTTAACCATCTGATATAACAAAGTGGGTGGACTTCAGTCTTCAGAGGAAAAAGAATAAACATACTGAAAGCTGTAATTAAAATTTTCCCTTTTCCTCCAACCCTCTTATTGCAATTATTGTCAAACTTGAAATACTCAGTGCCCAAATTCAAACCTCAAGTTTTGCAAAAAGCCTACAATGCAAGGCGGGGGTGAGGCAGCTGAAATCCCTTTGGTAGAAACCCAGTCCCACTGGATGAGCATTAATACTCTGCTGTGTGCTAAACTTAACATATACCAGTGGTTAGAGAACATCAGTCATCCAACTTCCTGGAACACAGATGACTGCAGTGACCTCGTGAAGCCCCTATTCCACAATGCAAAACGCTCCAGCTCCTAATGGTCTGCAAGAAGTTGTTGCTGAGGAAGGTGAGAAGAAGTGAGTCCTAAAGAAATATCGAAGGAAAACTTCAGTACAGAACAACTTGGATACAAAGGGTGAAGACCAGGTAGGTATCACAGACGACCAAGAACCTGGCAACTCTCTTTCCAGTTGCTCAAGCCCCAAATCTTGGGGTCGACCTTGACCCATCTTGTGTCTCACATCCAGGGGCAAGACGCAAGGTTTGTGGGGCCTGAAGCGTATATAGGCTTTAAAAAAAAAATACAAGCATATTTTTTGAAGGAAAGTTCCCAAAAACATATGCGATAAAAGTACACTGAGGGGTCTATAAGCCTCAGTGAACTCCCTCCGCCCACACCGCCCTCCTGTGGTTCTGCCTTAGTGTCTGTCAAGAACCCAACCTCTCTTCCAGCTCCACCCCTATCATCCTGGCCCCAGCCACCTTCATTTCTGCCCGCACTCCTGAAATAGCCTTCCATCCCTGCTCTTCCCGCTTCTTCCCTGGTGTCTTTACGTCCACTCATCCCACAGCAGGCAAACTGGATCATGTCCTTGGTTGGCTCAAAACCCTCCAAACTTCTCTTGTCTGGTCATATCTAAAGTCCTCACTACACCTCCGATGGTCCTGCTTTATCTGCCAGCCCGTGCCTCCTGGACCAAGTTTGCTCCCACACTCCGCCCCTTACTCACCTCTCACTACCCCGGGCTCGTTGCTGTTTTTAGAACCTGCCAAAAACCTGCCTCCCGGCTTTTGCCTCTGCTGTTCCTGATGTCTGGAATAGCTTCTTTCCCCTGAAATCCCCCCTTCCTTCAGGTCTATCCTTCAAATGTCACTTTATCGGAGATGTCTTCCCAGGCCACTCAACAAACAGCGGCAGCCCAGACAGCCTGTCCTCCTTGCTTTGGATTTTTCTTTCCAGGCTCAGCCTTATTTGGGCATATATTTACTTGTGAATTGTCTTACCGTCCTCGTCTAGACTGGAAGCTCCATGAGGGTAGAAGCTGCTGTTGCCCATTTGGAGAACAATGCCTGACCTAGTAGGCACTTAATATTTGTGGAGAGAAGAAATTACCTAACCTAGGAAATTAGGTTATCATGATGTCACTGGCAGAGGAAGAGAAATTATTTTGGGGGAGATGGAATTCCCTCTGAATGCTAAGTCTAAAAGTGCCAGATTTCTTAAATTATCATTACACTTGTGAATAAATACTTTTTTGGTTTTTTGCCGAGGAAGTTTCGCCCTGAGCAAACATCCGTGCCAATCTTCCTCTATTTTTTAGTATGTGAGCAGCCAATACATAGCATATACATACAGCATAGACGCTAACAGAGGGGCTTAGGTCCGCACCTTGAACCCAACCCGGACCGCTGAAGCAGAGCGCGCCGAACCTAACCACTGAACCACCGGGGCTGGCCCTTAAACATCCATTTGTTGGTGGAGAGGAAAGTAAGCCCCAGGAGTTACTGTGAACAAGACTTTTTTTTTTTTTTTTAAGTTTCACATCTGGCTTTACAAAAAGTTATCAAAGTTAAAATGCACTAATTTCGCAATCAAGTTTCACTCTATTTTCTACATGTTTATCTTCCTTTCATGTTCCAAATAGGCAGAAAACCTTCACAGACTGCAAGGACCAAACAGTTTCTTTCAAGAGGCATTTTCCCCCACCGGGAACACCGAGGCTTCACTCTCCGTGGGAGGCAGCAAGCCCCCTACTCCACCCCGGACTCAGAGCCAATCTCCCTTCTTGAGGTCTTTCCAGGAAAGAGTGAGCTCCGGGAGGCGACTTCCAGAGGGTGCCCAGAGGAGCCTAGGGCAGGCGGTTCAAACGAGCAGGCTCTGCGTTGGGCTCTTTGTCCAACCACTACAGGGAACGAGAAAGACGTGGCTGTGCCAGGTCCCTTCTCCGTACGGATGCTGGTCTGTTGGAAAGGGGAGGTCTCTCGGAGGACTTCTCCCTTGAGCCTGAGGGTTTGAATTTCTTCAGCTCGGGACTCCTCCCGGTGTTTTGGGGATACAAGATTTCCAAGTTAGAATACTTGTCCCAGCGAGGCTCCCCAAGGAAAGCATCTAATACTCCTGAGGAGCCGGGCTCCCTTGCATCAGTTCTCTATTTACCGGCAGACAAACGTGCCTGCTTTGCAGGCGCTCAGCGGCGGCCGCGGGAGATCGCGTCTGCCCCGGAGTCCGCCTGCCGGCTCTCGTGGTGTCAGTTCAAGCTCCAGGGGGTGAACGCAGACGTCCACTGCCCCTTCATTCAACAAATACTTACCGGGCGCCCGCTGAGTGCCAGGCACTGGGGGTGCCCCGGGGGCGAGAAACAACTCATTAATTTCTACCAGTGCCCCCAGGAGCTTGGCGCGCGCAGCCGGAGCGGACCCCGCACTCCGAGCCCACCCGCTGCCCGGCCGCCCAGCCCGGGGGTGCCGAGCGCCTCCCGCTCAGCCCTCGGGACGCCGGCGGGGGACCCGCCCCACGGGATCCAGCCTCGAGGGTTTAATCCGGGTGGGGAAGGCAGGGAAAACGGCAAAACACAAAAAGGCAGAAACCGAACCCCAGTCTGCACTGGGAAGCCGCTCCCGGCAAGTGCGCAAGGCGGAGCCGGAGCCCGGCCCGCCGGGAGAGCGCCGAGCCCGGGAGCGGGAGGGAGAGCCAGGCGCCCGGGGCGCGGAGGCGGCCCCGGCGGGCGGAGGGCGCGGCCGGCGGGAGGGGCCGGGGCGGTGCCGGGAGGGGCGCGCACAGCGGCGCGGCCGCCCGGCCCAGCAGGTGACCGCGGGCCGGCGCCGGAGCCGGAGCGGATCGGTGCGGCGCGGGCGGCGAGGCGGGGAGCCGGCTCGCGGGCTCGGGCCAAGTTTGCCGGAACATGGCGGCACAGCCCGGGGAGTGCAGGAGCGCGGCGCGGCGGCGGCCGGCGCCCCGGGAGCTGTAGCCGCCGCAGCCGCCGCCGCCGCGGCCGAGGGCGCCGCCATGGCCCGCTGGATCCCGACCAAGAGGCAGAAGTACGGGGTTGGTGAGTGCTCTCCCCACCCCGGCCCGGCCCGGCCCGGCCCGGCCGCCGCGAAGTTCGCGGGAGCCGCCCAGCCTGGCGCAAAGTTGGGCGCCGGACGCCGGGCCGTCTGTGCGCGCGCCGCGCGAGCCGGGGTTCGGCTCCTGCTGCCCTCGCGGGCGCGCTCGGCGCTCAGCCCCGCCGCCGAGCGCTGGGGACGGGTGGGAGTCGGAGCCCCCTGCCGGAGCCCTTTGGGGAAGTCCTTGTGAGCTTTGGGAATCCGAGTGGCTCAAAGTGCCGTTGGGCTGCGGGACAGGTAATCTTGCTCCAAATCCACAGCTCCAGCGCTCTGCTTAGTGGGAACGTCAAAAGCGAGGGTGCTCGCGTGTTACACCTTTGGGCGCCCAGCTCTGGTGCTCGCCTCCCTCCTCCCCATCCATGCGGGTTCATTCAGTGGTTTGTAACCAGCCGAGGTCGGCGGAATGCGAGTGCTGCCTGCTGACCCAGTGCTTTCTGCCTTGCCCCTGCCTAGGGTCTCTCTGAAGCCCCAAAGTGAGGAGTAGGGGCTAGAAAGCCGCTCTCCCCCTTTTCCCCGCAGGGACTGGGATCCTGATGACAGTTGTAAACGGAATTGGAGACTAAAGTTGTGGTGTGGAGGTGATGGAAGAGACAGGAAGTGTGTGGCTTGGGAACGAGGGTGGCTGCCCCTGGGCTGTTGTGCAGACACTCGTGCTCTAACGGAGCATGTGTGGAGAGGGGTTAAGACTGCCTTCTGAATCCCGAGTTCCGTCGTGGGATAAGAAGAGAACATTTTATTAAGAAAATCGTGACAGGTCCCGCGCCAGGCACTTGGCGTCCGTAACCGCGGCGCTAGAGCCCCCTTGACGTGCGGGGGATCGCCGTGCTGTTGGTTTGGTTCCGGAACCAGGGCCGTGTGGGGTTTTGACCCAGGTGAAGAACCTTGCTCCTTCCACCGCCTCTCGAGGAGTGAGGTTGCTGGGGTCTTGGGAAGACTCTGCCGATCGCGGGGGGATTACAGTGGCAGTGCGACTTCGGAGCGGTTCTCTAGTATAAACACAGTTGTGTGTGTTGAGAATTTTATCACTTCCTCTAAGGTTCATTCATTTGGCCTGTTTGTAACTTAATCTTTCACTTCCCTCCCTTCCCCGCCCCCGTTTTTCCTCCCCTCTGGTTACCGGGAAGGGAAGGGTCCCGGGACTATTCTGTGCTTTCTGGCGGCGAGGTCAGTTTCAGAGACGCTCAACGTCTCTGTGCTTTTCAACTCTAGCCCTGAGTCAGTTAAAAAAAAACCAACACTCTCACTCTCTCATATTTGCTGTTATTCTTAGATTGTGATCCTTTATGTATATATGTGTTTGTATGTAATTAGATATATAATTCCTTGTTTTCCCTCTATTCCAATAACTTTTTTCCCTTAAATTTCTGTTAGAATCCTTGCACCCTGGTGTGGCTTCAACTCAGAAATGGGTAGGTGTTTCTCCTGCCCCAGACCACCCTGTCGTGATTTGGTCCTGAGGCTTCAGACGGGGACTCCTAATCAGGTGCCAGTCAGTAAGTAGCCAGTAGTTACGGAAGTGAAATGCACTAAAATAGATGGAATCAACTTCGTTATTTTTTAGTCTTACAGAGTACTGACTACTAAATTGAAGCGTGTGTAGTGATGCCTAATCATCAATTACTACTTTTAAAAAGTTATCAATTCTAATTTTATTTAACAGGGTAAAGGCTGTTTCCAAAACCATTATGACTTTGGTATAGTTAATGCAAACATATCCTCCAAACGTGGTTTTTATTGCCATAGCCACAGGAGCCGGTATGAGAGGTTGTCTTTTGGAGTCAGGTTACCATGCTATTTATCTTGAGTCAAGAAAAGTATTTGACTTGCATTTCCAGGGCATAGGTGATAGCAAAATTGCCCCAGGATATAATCTGTGACACTTATTTCATTAGACACAATAGATTCTGATTAATCTGGATTTGACAAAAGGACCACTGGTAGGACAGATTAGCTGAGAGATAAATCTCCCTTGTTTATTCCTAAAACACACTGTTGTCCATATCACCTCCCTGCTTTGAAGCCTTCCTTGGCCTGCAGGGTAGAATCTATACTGAGCCCAGCTTTCAAGGTCCCCGTAATCCAGTTCAACGTCCTTTCACAACCTCATCTCCGCCTTCTTTCATTAACACCTCCCCCCACCTCGTTGCAGACCCCGCCCTTCTCCTGCACCGCCCTTCTCACTCCTGCGCAGTAGGCGGTGGAGAGTCCCTCCTTTGGGACTTTGCTCCCTTGTGTTTGTGCCCTGTCAGAGTCCCCTCCCACCTCTGCATCCCACAGTCCAGCTTTTCTCAGGGCGCACGTCTACTGCCACTGCCTGCTTCAGGTTTGGTATTCACCACACGTTCCCAAACCGTCACACCTCTCTCGTCCTCGCAGTGCCTATAGTGTGCCATTCCTTATTTCGTTACTTCTCCTCCTATCCTGGGCTTCAGTGAATCAGAACGTTATGGTTTTGTATCCCTGCCACTCAGCAGGTGTACCAGGTATAGAGCCTGCGTCCGGTAAATGCTTGTCCTCGGTGTTGGGTGGCATTCTAAGGCACTGACCTAATTTCTACGATGATTCAATGCAGTTTTTTCCCCATTAGGTTTTAGGGTCTCATTCACTCCAACATGAGTTTTATTTTGTTCCGTTCGATGGACAAAGTGAGAGCCTTCAGTCTGTCTTTACCTTTGCGAGGAGAGAAATGAGACGTGCTGAGGACACGAGGAAACATAGAACAGACAGACTCATTTAAATATGATTGGGAAAATTGGCTTGTTGGACTTTTTTGAGGATTGTTGTCACTTCAGAGTGTCTGCTGGACAGATTTTTGTCTCTGGGTGAAGGAAACCCTGCGATGGCCATTTTTTTAACGACTCACAGCTACTGTGTGTGAGGGTAATGCTTCGATCTCAGATTGAACTGTGCACGGTGAGGCTAGCAGTCTCTGCTGCCTTATTTTATCTTGGTGCCGCTATTGGCTGTGGCTGTCCCTGACATAGCCTAGATTGTTCTACAGGGACTGAAATGCAGTCTCTTCTGGGCTTTCTTTTCTTTTCCTTTTCTTTTTTTGAAGAAGATTAGCCCTGAGCTAACTGCTGCCAATCCTCCTCTTTTTGCTGGGGGAAGACTGGCCCTGAGCTAACATCCATGCCCATCTTCTCTACTTTATATGTGGGACGCCTGCCACAGCATGGCTTGACAAGTGGTGCCATGTCTGCACCGGGGATTCGAAGCCGCAAACCCCAGGCGCGAAGCGGAACGTGGGAACGTAACCGCTGCGCCATCAGGCCGGCCCCTTGTCTGGGCTTTCTTAGTTCTTAAACAGCACTGTTGCTCAGTCTCTCGCGTTGGGTGGGTCTGAATGCCCTATAGGAACAAGTGCTCTTCCCCACAGCCATGGAAAACTTTTTTTCTTTCTTCCTTCCTCTTTCCTTCTTATTTTCTTTTCCTTTCTTCTTTCTTTTTCTGTTTTAAGTGTTTTATGTTTGAGGACATGAGTATAAATACTTTTATTTAGATTTTAAGCAAACATTAGTGATAAATATCCACATTAGTCTTCTGATTCATTGAAGTCTGCTCCCAAACAAGCTATTTATATCAAGAACAGGCCCAGATTATGTTGGTGATGGATTCTTTGCAAAAGAATTCATTATTGTTTGTTGCGATTTGTGATATATATTTTTATAATGTGATAAAAGGTGTAATTGGGGGAATATTTACTTTCATTGTTAGCTTTTCAACTATTTAGCTGTGCTAGGCGCAGTTAGCCTAAAAGCATTTAACTTTGTGGAGTAGCTTCTCAAATGCTGGAGTAAAAACCGGAACCAGACTCTTGTAGCTCTTTGTGAAAGCTCTCAGGGGAGCTGTGGGTTCCCGTCCAGCGTCCAGCTCTTGCTCCCCACCCGCACCGCGTTCCATATCCTGCAGTTGGCGCGGTAGAGCTGGGAGGGTCTCAGAGAGTAACTGGTCCACTTCCCTTTCAAAGAGGAACCTGGTGCCTAAAGCGATGAAGTAAATTGCTTAACACAGGTGCTTGTTACCTTTGTGGCTGCATGAACCCCTTTGGCCATCTGGTTAGGCCGGTGGACTTCTTTCTCAGAATAATGTTTTCAGTGCATGAAGTCAAATATGAAGGATTGAAAATGAAACCATTTATATTGAAAGACAACTGTCAAGATATTTTTCCAAATTTGTGATCCTGTAATATATGTGCTTCCTTATTAATGCATTAAATAACAAGATCTAGTGGCAGTTCTACTAGCTACTTTTGAGTTAGTGGTGAGCATGTATGATTTTTCAAGGTATCTGCAGTGACCATACTATGATATGAAAATACCCATGATTTCTGTTGGTACTGTCACAGGGACTGCTAGTACAACTGCGGTCTGTTGTCTACAGTTGTAACTGAGGTAAATGCCGAGTGTCAGAAAATAGCGATGTAATTTTTTTTCCCTTTTTCAAGTCCATGGATCCTCTGAATTTGAACATAGATTAAGAATTCTTGGCTGAAGTTCACACAGCTAATTAGAACCAGAATAAGCAACAACAGTAGTAACACTAGTTGAGCGTTTGTCTCCACGAGACACCACTGGGTATTACACAGTTGTAAGGACTTGCAGAAGTCCTCACTCTAATGTGTTCGTGTTCTGACAGCATTGAGGCTAAGATTAAAAGGAATAGAGAATTAGTATTTATTAAGAATTTACCTGGGACAGGCACTCTTCCGTACCCTTATTTCAGTATGTTCTCAGTACACTTGGGGATCTTGGAGGCATTCTGAGGGCTCCATGAGATTAAAGCTTTTTTGTCACAATACTGAGACATCACTGGGCTCTTTTCGCTCTGCTCTTATGAGTGCACAGTACAGTTTCCTGAGGCTCCGCAAAGTGTGATATTGCAACAGATTGGAGGCCGAAGCACATGAAGAATCCAACTGCCTTAGGTGAAGCCAGACACTACA